AAGAAATGTACCAGATGTTTTCCAACAGCTCTACATATGGAGGTTCCTACTCTCAGCAGGGGACCCACTGTAAAAAGAAACAAGAGACACACACTCTGGTTTCAACCATAACATAAAGAATAACCTATAAATAGCTATTGTCTGGTAAGATTCCTATTTCCATTACTATCTCTGAATCTGCTAGAAAAGGACACCAGAATTTGGTTTTCCTGTATGTATGTTCATAAGCTCATTTAGACCTATTTAAATACTTAATTTAGCAAGCGTTAGCATCTTGAAATGTCTTCTTAATTAATTTCAATCCAGAAAGTTACTAATAAATCCATCATTAAAAGTTACTAAATTTAGTTTTTCTTCAAATGAAAATATATACTTTCTAATATCATTCTAATAACCCTTTTAATCAAATTATTATTATTATAAAGAAGTTAAAATATTAGGAAACTATCCGCTTTATGAAAGTTTAAACACTGCTGTAGAATTAGAATTCTAGGATAACCTTGGTCAGCTTCTGTATTTGTTTTTGTGGAAAAGTTAGCTGTTTCCCTCCTCTATTTTTGTCCTTTGGCAGGAAGTTTATGGTATAACTAGATAAATATCAGAAATAATCATGGCCATCTTATACTATGCCTTTACCAAAAAAAAATGTGTTGTACATCATTATTTGTATATAACTCAGGAAATCCTTGAAAAACAAAATATCTAGCTTTATCTTCAGCTACCTCTCATTTCATCAGTGAAACTATTTTGTATGTTTGTCAATATTCTTACTCTGGATTCTGTATAGAAGCTTAGCCTCTCTAAAGATCATGATTCTAAAGATAATTTACATCATTTCCTTTTAATAGAGCTGGATATTTATAGCTTTTTATTCTCTTTCTTCATTTACAATAAAATGTATATATAGAATTCTGTAAAATAAAGAATTACTTCCCTTACTCTTAACAAATACTTATGATTCATGATGTCTCTTTGCTGCATGAATACATTTTGCAGTGGTTTGAATCCCCATGATCTGGAAATGCACTAGACACCAGGCCTAGGAATCCTCTTCTGAGTATGTAAAGGCACTAAACATGGGTGTTTTGTTTTCCTAATTCACAACAAGCCTAAATTGTCCAGAAATTCAAGCTGAAATGCTTTTTTTTGCTATTATACCAAATTCGTTGACTAAAATGGAAAATAGTAAAATTGAAATACTTTTGCTAAAACTTCTGAAAGTATTATGCTCTTGCTTTAAGCCACTGTAAAGAAATACTCCAAATAAATAAATGGAAAATCAATGTTGCGTATCTGCCATGCTACTAAGAAGCCATAGTAAAAGTAGACTTTGTGGCTTCCTTTAAGTTAATTTCTAAGAAAACTTTAAAAGATAAAAATAATGTGAGAAAATGGAATTAATGATGCATATTAACAATCAAGTCTGTCCATCCTTGTGCGCTGTCAGAATCAAGGAATATGGTGATAGGAAATCAAATACAACAAATAAGAATTCTTCAAGCAACAAGGAGGGTGGGGAGATGAGTGTGGGGGGAAATCTCAAAGGCTCAAAAGGAAACATATATACAGTATTTTGATTGCCATAACAGAGTTCCCCACACAAATTCAAAGGGCAAAAACAGAAGAACAAAGAAACATTAACTGCTCTTATTTACTGGTACAATGTGTGTCCTCAAATTACTGAAATTCCAGCAGTGTTAGGATGACATGGACAAAGGATAACCTGTATATTAAAGACTTAAAAAATTTTATCTGCATGAATATTGATTTTTTAAAAATAATTTAAATCTGAGGATGGCTTACTGTCAATCTATATTAACCTAGAATCTTTTAGGTACACATAACTCCCGCTAAAGGCCATGAGTTTATATGATTTGAGGTGGTTTCATTCATCGTGTTCCATATTTAGATTTAATCAATGGAGTACACAGTTTTAAGCAATTTATAAAATAAGGTAAGAACGAGCGATCCCTTAAATCCTTCTGAATTGAGAGATGAGAGTTATAAAACTCAGTTTTTAATGATCCCCTTTTTTCTTGAAAAACAAGGCCCTCTTGACCCCGTTTTGTTTTCCCATTTCTGACAGAGATACAAATACCACAAATGTTTGACTCTCCCCTTTACATCAACAACTGTGATCGAAAGTGATAGCAGTAATAACACAGCTAACATATCTGGTGCTTCCTTTGTGTTAGTCAATATTCTAAGCAGCAGAAGTAAATTGCCTCATTGTAGTCATTGCTATAGGTGATGTTCAGGGTCTGGCAATCTGACCCCAAGCCTCAGCAACTAACAAGTACATTTCACTGGCTACTTACTTTAATAAGTAAAATGGGCAGATTCTAAAAGAAACTGCGGTGGAGACTGGCTTTGCTCTTGAATGGCAATAGGAAGGGTGCAGCCAGTAGAAGCACCCATGGCCACACAAACAGAGCAGTCAATGCTCAGTTTCAGCCAAGGCTGGCAGGCAGCAGGGTAGCCTAGGCTGCAAGGTCTTTTGATTTTTTTTTTTAATGGTTAGCTGGAAATCCAGATTTATATCTGAAGCCCCTTGATTTTAAAATACTGCCACTTGTTTAACCTTTTTTCTAAAATCTTGGGGCAGGAACCATACCTCATTTATCTTTGTATCCTCAATGCCTAACATGTCGCTGGCACACAGTAGGTACAAATAGGTAGAGGTTGGCTGTTAAAAATTTCACCATTTTATCTTGGCTATTTTATAATCCTGGTAGGAATCCATTGACTTATTCACAAATATTTACTGAGATACTACAATGTACCAGATATTACTCTAGATACTTAGGGTACAACAGTGGAAAAAAATGAACAAAATAAATACAAAGAAAAAGAGAGAGATTATACTATATTGCAGTAGGAGAGATAGGCTCCTTTCCCCTACCGCTCCCCCCCCCAAAAAAAAACCCTCAAAAACATATAAACTCAGGTACAGTGAAGGCCTGGAAAATAAGGAAGAATAGTTTGCTTTGAATTGAACCTGTGATACCAAGAGCTAAAGACTAATAACTAGAAAACCAGACAGAGCAGTTCATGTTGCCTAGTGCCATATTGGTCATTACGCCACAAATATGTTACAAATGTGTAAGCAATTTAAAGGAAAGGGTACCCTTGAAAGAGAGAGTGCTTTCTTCAGAAGTAGAACAATATGATCTTGCTTCTTGGCTTGAAAGGAAGTATTGATCCTTAGTTAGTGAGTCAAAGGTTAATAACTTGGGCCTGGTTACTTCAGTTATCAGACTCATGATTAATGGTGTCCTCTAACTCTCTGTAAATGCAGGAACCTCTTTTTGATGCTTTTACTGGGAACCAAGGAATCAAGCTATTCTCTTGTGATTCTGTTGCAGGGGGAAGCATTGAGGAAGAGTGGCCACAAGGGTCTCACAGACAGTGCCCAGAAGTCGCCAAAAATGCAACTTGGAGCAACATGAACCTAATTGGCAACCTTATGGTAAAATACTAGCTGACATGCAACCCTTTTGCTCTCATGTATTATCATTCCACAAGACCACATGCTGAGCTAATAGAACTTCCCCCCCCCCCCAGTTTGCTTTGGAAAACGGATGTAGTTTCAAATAGCCCAAATGGCACAATCTGGATAGTGCTCCCAGACAGCTGCTGGAGTTATAGACAGGACAGCTACGCCAGAACCATTTTTAAAAAGCACAAACTTGGCCTCTGCCTTCCATCAAATCATCTATATGCATAGATATTTAGTTCCTCACAATCTTAGTATTTCTAGCCAATCACGGTGTTCTGAAAAGAAAATACCCTAAAAACACATGCCAGTTTATATCTTCAAGTAGCCTTTAAAATAACATGCACAACTCCTAAAGCTGGAAGAAATGTTGTTTTTCATTGTTTTTATATAAAAATAAGATTTCACTCAACCTGCTCTTTTTGGAAGAAACAGTATTTTCTTTGTTAGCCAAGCCCAACACAGATCTCATGCCAATGTAGTTTGCTCTTCTCATGGATACTAGCCAAAAGGATATTCCTTGAAATAAAGTCACGATCTATTGAGAGTCTCACAAATCAACTAAACTAGGAAACAAAAGTATGAGAAAAAGAAATGATTAAAAATAAAAATGATGAGAAAGCACACCACTCAAACTGCCCACTTGTAAAAGAAAGCTCTCATCAATGGATGTCACATTAAAAAAAAAAAACTTCCCCCTACATATGTGTCAGATATCAAATCATCTCACTTATTGTAATATTTTTTTCTAGCCACCTAAACATTTTTGTTTTAGTTAATCAAAGTCTCTGGCCTTGATCTTGTATCAAATAGATTAACACTGAGAGAATAATTTAACATAGTAAACATGAACATGTTCATGAAATTTCCGATTTACTAAACCTGAAATGAACATAGTGAAATGGTTATAGACGTCTTATGACCCCCCCAAATAACTGCATATACAGTAGAGTCGACATATGTGATAATCCAATGACACTAATGCATTTGTACAACTGAAAGGTTTTTAACATCTAGAAATAAAACGGCTTGAAAAAGTCTACTGAGATTTAGTTTTTAGACACTCTTTCAACCTACATTTTAGCTAAGGTAGCATGCATTTACTAAAGAAGTTCTCAAGAGTAGTATTCTGAGGATTTAGAATGCATTTGAAATTTCTTCGCATTTTCTGCTTGCTTCATTTTAAGTATTTTTAACATTTTTCCATACTTTGTAGGCAATTTTGGCAGAAATGAGGCTTATGTCTCTTCACCATCAAGTTGTATCACGCATACAATTCTGCTACCAATCTGTGCTAGCCAGAACTTTATCCCTGCCCGGAGACTTCGTGCATTTCCCACTTCCCATCAAGGACAGTACAAAGAACTCTAGGCTTGCCGCTCCACCAAAACTTGAAACCGCAATCAAGTGACCGCGGTCGCGTGCCCGGGCAGGGAAGGCAGCTGGCACGAGGAGCCCCCAGCCCAGCACCATCCGCGGCCCTCTCGGGAGTGGCTCTCGGTACCTGCTGAGTGGATGGCTGGCGGCGGCCCGGGGCGCACAGCGCGGCTCGGCGCCGGGGGGCTGCGAGCGGGCGTACGAGTGGTAGGCGGTCAGCACCACGCCGCCCGAGTCCTCCACCTCCATCGTCAGCCGCGCATGTCTCCACGCCGGCCCCAGAACAAAGACCGGGACCAGCATGGACCAGCGCGCCGGGAGCCTGTCCCCAGCCGGGCGGCGGGCCGTCCTACGCCCCGCGACTCTGCCCGCGGCTGTCAGGGGCGCGGGGGCAGGCCGGCCACGCCCCCGGGCACTCGGATTAGCATACGCTGGGGACACGCCCACCAGCGCGGGGGGGCGGGCGGCGTGTGTGCAGGGCTGGGGGGAGGTGTGATCCCTGCTTCTAGGAAACTGGAAACCTGCTGTGATCCTTCGGGGCTCTGGCAAGCTGCTCTAGTAAAGTTTTTGGTTTTTTTTCCTTTGTTTCTTTTTTTCCCCCTTTTATTCACCCCCCTCCCCCATCAAACTGGAGGCTTATCCCAAGGCCAGGAACATTTCCTGCCTGGCAGCCAGGAGTGAGACTGTCAAACCATGCCTTAGGTTGTGGAGGAGGGAGGCCAGGTCCGATGTGCGTGCTCTGGGGAAGAAAAAGAGAAAATGTGACACTCTTGTCTTTTAAAGCATCCACATCAAAAATTGAAGAACCGGATTACATTGCTGTTTACTTAGTCAAGTTACAATAAACTTGATTTCCTTTCGGGTCAGGTAATTCCTTCTTACAGCAAGCGAACACTTCCCTCCTACACAATGCGCAACAACCAGACTCTTACCTCACTCCTACATCCCGTTTCTCCTCCCAATCCTGATCACATTAACAGATACTGTTTCCCGCTTGTCTGAAAGTTAGACCTTATTATTACGGACTAGATGGATGTTATTTCCGGAGGCCTTTTTGGAGAGGTGGGGGGAGGTTAAAGCCTGGTGGGGAGAGAGAGGCATAATTAGAAAATTTGAGACTGAAGTATGTCTTTACCTACATAAGGCTAATAGCACAGATGGGAAAACAATATTCTTATAACTGATTAAAACGGTAACCAGAAATATGCTAGGAAGAGGCCCACGTGATAACCTTTCATACACACACTGTTTATTAGCTGTCTTAGACACAACTTTGGGAGCTAGGTAAAGAGGGAATACTGGAGCGTGACCTGGATCATGCTGCCTAACATCTTGAGATCTCCATTTCTGCATCTGTGAAATGGGGAAAATAACCTTTCATTTCATGGGATTAAAAACACCAAGTTCATGTTAATTTTTCAAGAAATGCTGGTTCTCTCTGCTGCATCCTTCACATTCATCAAGAAGGGAGACATTTATTTTCATTGCACTTTCAGAGGCTGGGAAAGCATAAAAATTTTCCATCCAAAATGCTTTTTAAAAAATGTTTTGTTTATTAAAGGAGTGAGATAATAATGACTAACATTGGCTAACATGCTTACTATGTGTTGGATCCTGTACATTAGCTCTTAAAGCAACCCTGTGGGGTAGGTAGTATTGTATAATTATTCCAATTTTATGGATGAAGAAATTTATCAAGCATAAGTGTATGAAAAATGCACACACGGCCAGGGTCTGTGGCTCAAGCCTGTAATCCCAACACTTTGGGAAACCAAGGTGAGGGGATTGCCTGAGTCCAAGGGTTCGAGACCAGCCTGGGCAACTTGGTGAGCCCTCATCTCTACAATATGTCAAAAAATTAACCGGGCTTGGTAGTGCACGTGCCTGTAGTTCCAGCTACTTAGAAGGCTGAGGTGGAAGGATTGCCTAAACTCAGCAGATAGACGCTGGGGTAGCTGTGAGCGTGCCACTGCACATCAGCCTGGGTGACAAAGTGAGACTCTGACTCAAAAAAAAAAAAAAGGCACATACAAGGAATGTTTCATTCTCCAAATATTTCAGATAAAGGAGGCATCTGTTTCCCTATTGTGCGTTATGCCAAGTGCATCAAAACCAAGATAATACTTTCTTAAAATGTGAAATAAAGATAGGTATAGGTATTGATGCATGCCCACAAAGACTCATCTAAAACCCTGTGGCCAGATATGTTTCAGAAATTGCACATATTTATTATTTTCAAAAGGTAATTTGATGGGTATACCATTTAATATAAAACACTTTCCACCCAGTACAATTTGGGATAGTAGTCAAAGGAATCTTGTATTCAAAGGAATTATTTCGGTAACAAAAAGACTGAATATTGACTCTGAGTGGGATAAATAAAGTCTCTTAATGGCCTCACCTTTTTTCAGGTCACATTTGCTCAATGATCAATGATTTATCACCCAATACATCTTGGCACCAAACTTTTTGAAAACTTGTCATTTTTACAGCTTTTTGAATTTTGAAATTACCATAAGGAATTGTAGTAGTGAAACTTTTTTGGGGCATGAAATTTTCCCTTGGTATTCTTTTTTTTCCCCCCCTGAACTACCAACTCACAATTTTAAATACCTGCAGGTTATTCCCTTATAAATATCTTGACCATAAACATAACTCCAGATGTGCCACACTGCAGTGGCACTCCCTCAGGCTGGCTTCAGTGGCATTCCTCCTTCTCTTGTGCATTCTCATTTTAGAAACCCTGGATTCACTTTTGACTGCTCCCTGCAATCAATAATCAACCATTGTATTCCCACTGCTAATGTCTTTGTCCTCATGTCATCATCTCTTGCCTAGGTGACACAGTCATTCCTTCACAAAGATTACTTTCCATAGCTTCCTCTTAAGCCCCACTCCCTTTACAAAAAACAGGTAGAGCGATTTCTCTAAAATATAGGATTCCCTCTTCTCAAAAGCTCTCAATTGTAGCCCACTTGTTACAAAATAAAGTCCGGGCCGGGCTTGGTGGCTCAGCTTGTAATCCTTGAACTTTGGGAGGCCAAAACAAGTGAATTGCCTGAGTCCGTGGGTTTGAGCCCTGTCTGGGCAACTAGGCGAGACCTTGTCTCCACAATAAATCAAAAATTAGCTGGGTGTGTAGCGCGTGCCTATAGTTCTGGCTACTAGGAAGGCTGATGCAGAAGGATCGGTGGAGCACAGCAGGTTGGCGCTGGGGTGGCCAGGGGCATGCCACTGCACTCCAGCCGGTGACTAAGTAAGACTCTGACTCAAGAAACAAAACAAAACAAAGTCCAAACTCCTCAGTATGGCCTCTCATTAATCTATTTTCATCACTTAGTACTTCATCACTCCTAAGACTCAGTGGCCCACATACATAACCTCTTACCTTTCATTTTTCTTGTCTGAAAATCCTGAATACCCCTCTGTCTCCATAAAGTCTCTCAGGTGTTCCTAATTCAGAATAACTCCTACTTCTGTCCTGCTGTAGAAACTGCTCTTGTTTTCATCACAAGGAGTAATTTCATCCCACCATGTAATTAAAGCACAGTCAAAACTCTGTACATACATCTGTGCATTCTCCACTCCTGTGCTCATGTCAGACATTGCTAATAGATCATAGTAATTTCTTCCACTGAGCCTAGAAACCCTTCTCAGAACAGAATCCCAAGCCAGCAAGATAGCTTTGAGTTAAAAACTACTTGCTAACCAAAGATTGTGTTACTATTTTCTTTTTTTTTTTTTGAGTTAGAGTCTCATTCTGTCGCCCAGACTAGAGTGCAGTGGCCACTTCCAGCCACCGCAGCCTCGACCTGCTGGGCTCTGGTGATCCTTCCGCCTCAGCCTTCCAAGTAGCTGGAACTACAGGCGTGCACTACCACGCCCGGCTAGTTTTTTGTTTTTTTGTTTTAATTGTAGAGATGAGGTCTCACCAAGTTGCCCAGGTGGGTCTCGAATCCGCAGGCTCAGGCAATTCACTCACCTCAGCCTCCCAAAGTGCTGGGATTACAGGCTGAGCCACTGAGTTCGGTTGTGTTACTATTTTCTAACAAATTAGTCTTTTACTAAATTGTAAGCTAGTGGAACAGCTAGTGTCATGCTTTGTCTTTGTACTAGAGAGGCCATTGTGTTTTAGGGAATATGCGTTCAATACAGAATATTTACTGAAAGAATGAATATATGAATCAATTAGTGAATCAGTGAGTGAGACAGCACTCAGTGCAGTAAGTGCCAGTCTTTCAGGGTAGCCAAGGCAGGGGTCAAAGGGAAATTTCTCCTTTGTTCTCTGGAGGTTTACTGAAAAATCAAATTTTAAAAGGCAGATTAATTGGAGAAAAGGCATACAAATTGATTTAACATGTATGCACAGGAGCCTTTGGGATGAAGGTCCAAAGGTACAGGGGAAATTGTCCATTTTTATGTGTAGGTTCAACGAAGCTGGACACCTGTATAGATATATGTTGGACAAAAAGGTATGATCTAATGCTAATAGACAGAGGAGAGACCAGCAAGGCCTGTCTGTCTAGATTCTTCTTGGCCTTTCTGAGCATGCATTTCTTTCTTCTGATTACACGACAAGACCTTCTCTGGAATGGGGGGTAGGGATGTGGGAGAGAGGGGGCTTATGACCTACTGTCAAATGAAGTAGGTCAGATAGTGTTTTGTTTGTTTGCTTGTTTGTTTTTTGGAGAAAGCAGGATTTATTGAGAGGACAGAAAAGCTCCCAGAGCAGGAGAGGACCAGAAATGGGTTGCCCAGATAATTTCTTTATGGTCAGTTTTACATACAAAGGTAGAAGGAAAGTTAGAGTAATATTTTTAGATTTTATGGCTGACTTTAGGGAAAGGGGGTTTTGGTTTCTACAACCCGCCTTGAAAAAGAAATTCCAGTTCCCATGACCAGCCTTGAGAGAAAATGAGACTGAGAGAAAGCAGGGGGGAAATAGGTCTGAAAAAAAGTTTGCTTCTGACATCTTTGCTTTCTGACATCTTTGTTTTGGGATATTGTTTTCTGAGTTCCAACACCAAGGAATTATTTATAAATGGCTCACAGGTCTGTATGGCACTAAAACTGCAAACCAAAAAACCAAAAATCTTTTACATGTATGTATTGGAATTTTTCAAATATGTCAATATGCTGTTTACTTAATAAAAATACAACTCGTGTAAGTATTCTTAAGTTTTCAGGCTCCAGAAGAATGGTAGAATGCATATATTGAAAATTACAGAATACTCCATACAGGATATTTCCATTAGCCCTCCAAATTGCCACCTCACTACCCTGGGTGATCCACCTTATGAATACATCTATGAGTCTCCTTGCCTCTAACTTCAGGTAGGGTGCAACCAAAGAGAGGTACCAGCAGACGATCTAGAGGGA